TGGAATGCGTTAAGAATCCTAAGAGTCATGTATGCATGCCATCTGGAACACATAGGCTGTCTCTGCTCTTAAACAACTATGGCTTTCGATCATAAAACCCGCTCGGAATTTTCTTCTGCATCAATACAAAATTAAGATATCATATTTATTTCGGGTTCATCAGAAGTATTCTTAATCCACGAATGTCCTGACTACACTAAATAAGCTTGACCTCTCCCCCCTAAACCGCATAAGTTCGTCCACACGATAACTTTCCGATAATAAATTTAAATAGCTGACTTATGAGGCGGACTTTCGGCTCGGAAAATGTGCACAGGCCGTAAGCGCTGAATTTAAAACTGGTATACTCGAGAGAACGCTCTGGAGGCGAGGTCAGAACCCCTGTATACAGTGAGCTTTATTGTCCGGTCTGAAAGGAACATATTACTATGCTGATCGGACTCGGTAAATAAGCTTGAAGTAAAATCTTCAACACCTTCTGAAGTTCTTGCATATCCACTTCCGTTTGACCAACGTAGGTTGTTGGATTCTGCAGTGTGAACGCGGAGGAAGCATAATCTTTGTCAAAAGCCTGACATGGATCGGCTACGTTCTCTTTCATGTTCCACGCAGGCCAATCTACGGCTCTCTTTACGTGGGCACGGGCGAATACAACATCGATCTGCCTTTCATGCTGTAATGCACCCCAAAAATACACATTAAAACGCCAGTTGACAAATGTTTGGCTTTATTTGGTATATTGCCGGGTTTTCTGTGAATTTGGGCGGGAAAGGTGCAAAAACGTGCAGCAAAGTATAATTTAAAAAGAGATCCAGCTTTATATCAATAAAATGATGAGGCATCTACTGGCGACCGAAGTAATCCAATCGTTTTCGCCTTAATTCCTCTGGATCGGGCTCCGTTGGTTGTCCGGGTGTGTTGTTTTCTACCATTAGTGGAGAAAAAAGAAAAGCCGGTGGTTGAAGGCTGTAGAGATAGCGTACAGACGCAACACAAGTACTGCTTATGAAGAGCACAAAACAGAGAAATTAAAAGACGAGTGCAGTTACTTGACGAAAAGCGAGGCCAGATAACACAGCTAGTAATTAAGGCATATGGGGTTGGTAGTTGACCGGTTCCCACACCATTAGTACATAAAGAGGCAGTCCGTGTCTGCCAGAGTGGTCTGCAGATCGCTTATTCTGGAGAAAGCCGGCACCACTGGGCCAGAGTTCGTCTATGGGCAACATACATCTACATTCTAGTGACAAAACTGCG